TAGGACTTTTAAAATTAGATAAAGCGAATTTGTGAACTGATCCCCTTTCCTGTTTTAACAAGTTATGCTGGACTCTCTAGCTCCAGCTCTGCAGCATATGGTGCCTGAAAGGAGTGCAGGACCACTCTTTCTAATGTTTAAGCCAGGAACAAAAAAATAATCATCAAAATCCTGCCATCCAGAGCAAGATCCATTTATGGCCATAAAGCTGAAAGAAGTGCTACAGCACTTGTAAATTGAGTAATTACCAGGGAGTTGTTACCTGGGAATTCACACTGCACTGTTCCAAATGTTACTATTAACTTTCCCATTATTCTTTTCTAAAATTTTCCATCAAGTATGGTGCTGCCAAGTCTCTTGCTACAAGACATTTCCTATTCCTGAAGTAAATGTGGTAATTTCTTGCATGGTAGTTAGCCTGAATTACCTAGCATAGGCAAGAATGGAGGTGAGTGATTTTCTATTTCATTTTGATATTATAGTTTCTGCTGAATACAGCCAAGGTCCTAATCTCTCTTCAAGCATCTTACAAAGTGGGACTGAGACCCCACAAACTTCCCTTAACTGCATAGAAACTTTTCAGCAAGGACTAGCTCAGGACTTTGGAAATTGGACCTGAAAAGCACATCTTACACTCTACCTTGAATACAAAGCCTTGAAAAAAACACCTTTAATGTGAACTAAGAGGACAATTTCTCTTTTGGAGTAGGTGATGGAGTGGATGCAAGGGCAGGTCGCTGAAAGAATCTGTCACTTTGGGACTACAGGAGCAAAGAATCCCAGCTATTTCAGACAAACAATAGTTATGTCACCTGTCAAGGATACCATCAGACCAAGTGGTCACATCAAAGCTTTATGTCTGACACAAGTGAATGCACTTATTTCCTTCTGCCTTGTTCCTGAAGTAGGCTGTGCATATGGCTTGCACATACAGCTGTGGCTATTTGGTAAGAAAATTAGAGCAGACTGCTCAGAATTTGAAATCTTCATGTGCATTTGTTTCTCCCAGGACAGTGGAGGAATGCATGTCAGGATAGTAGCTTACTTGGGTGTATAACAGAACAATTTAGTTTGGAATGAACTTCCAAAGGTCATCTAGTCCAACCCCCAGCTCAGAGTAGGTCTAATCAGGCCAGATTGCTTAGGACGATGTCCAGTTAGGTCTTGAACACCTCCAAGAATAATTTTACATTCTCTCTGGGTAAACTGTTCCAGGGTTTGATCACACTCATGATAAATTTTTTATACTAATACCTGATCAAAATGTCCCACGTTTCACCTTGTGTTCACTGCCTCCTGTTCTATCATCATGACTCTCTGAAAAGAGTCTAGCTCCACCTTCTCTTTATCCTCTGATCAGGTTGCTGTAGACAGGAAAAAGGTTTTCCAAACGTCTTCTCTTCTTAAGCCTGAGCAAACCCATTTCTCTCAGCCTTTTTTCCGTTGATCAGCTTGGTGGCAAAAAGGCAGAGTACCTCAGTCTGTTCCCTGTCATTTGTCACTAGTACCCCTGCCCCACTGACCAGTAGGCCCCCATTCTCCTTAGCCTTTATTTTGCTGCCAATGTAGTTAAACAATCCTTTCTTATCATCCTTCATCTCTCTTGCTAGTTTTAACTCCAGCTAAGCTTTGGTTTTCCTGACTCCCCTTCTACATGTATGGACAACGTCTTTGCATTCCTCCTGGGTAGTCTATCCCTGCTTCTACCTTCTGTGTGCATCTTTTTTATGTTTGAGCTCAGTCAGGACCTCTGTGTTCATTCATGCTGAGCTTTTGCCAGCTTGCTTGACTTTCTGCACATTGAAATGGATCACTCCTGTGCTCCAGAGAGGCAGTCCTTGGAGATCAACCAGGTCTCCAGGCCCCTTTCCTCCCAGGAAAGTTCCCTACAGGGTCCTGCAAGCAGGTCCCTGAACAAATCTAAATCTACTCTTCTGAAGTCCTGGATCTAGCTTACTCCTCTCAGATGTTAAACTCCACAAGTCTCATTGTTGCTGCAGCAAAGGTTGCCCTTGCCCTTTATACTGTCCACCAGTGTTTGTTCACTTGTGAGTCACCAGTCCAACAGTGCACCTTCCCTCACCAGTTCACCAGTCGCACCAAGAAATGATCTTGAATAAGTTCCAGAAATCTCCTGGATAGGTTGTGCCCAGTCACACTGCCCTCCCAGCAGGGTGATTAATCATTGATGGGGGCCTTTGACTGAGACTTTCTCCAGCTGCCTGAAGAATGCTTCACCTGCCTCCTCTTTAACAGTGTAGTAGATACCCATTGCAGCATCAACTGTGCTGGTCTGTCCTCTGATCCTTACCCCACAAGCTTGCTACTGATTCATCACCTGTCCCAGAGCCAAGCTTCATGCATATGACTCCTTTATACAGAACTCAACCTTTCTGCCATCCCGCCCACCCCTGTCTTTCCTGCGTTCCTTCATCGTAACACTAGTCATGAGAGCCATCCCACCACATCAACATGATCCCAGTGAGGTCTTAGCTCTGCAGATGTGCATAGACTGTCCTCCTGCTTGTTCCTCATGCTACACAGATCAGTGTATAGGCATTTGAGAACAGGTCCCAAGTTGTGCTCCTTTTACAGAGGAAGTGTGAGAGCCTCCGCTGTCATGCTGTCTCTTAGATGTATCTGCTCTGCCTCTTGCGCCCTCAATTCTCTCCAGATTATGGTAACTGTCCCTGGCATACCTCATGTAAAGCCCTTCTCACTAGGTTAGGAAGCCTGTTTGCAAAGACACTCTTGCCACACTTCGTCAAGCATGCCCCATTCCAGCTCAGTAGCTCTCACTGTGACTGGGGTCATGGGAGCCAAAGCCCTGCCTGTGACATCATCCATGCAGCTAAGCCGTGACACCCTGGATGAGTCCACTTCTGCTTAGGCCTTTCCTTCTCTCACTGAGAGAGAAGACACCACTTGCCTCCTTTACCCTTCAGACTCATCTCCAGTGGTCTGTAGCCACCCTTAATGCACTGCAGGTTACTCTCAGCAGTATCACTGGTTCCCACATGGAAGATCAGCAAGGGGTAATAGTCCAAAGGATGAACAAGCCTGGGCAGCACCTCCACAACTTCCAGACTGGTTGCCATATTGCTATGTTAATCTCCATAGGAAGGAGTCTTCTATAACTATCACAGCACATTTACCCTTCATGTGGACACCAGGACCAGGCTCAGCTGGCTCTGATCCATTTGTCTGATATGTACAGATGGTCCCTAACTCAACTTCCCTCTGAAATCAGTGCTCCTGCATTTATTTTGAGTTGATGCTTGGTCTAGGGACTTGGGAGCTGACCTTACCTCACAGTATACAAAAGGGCTTGTAGTTAGTTAAAGCATCAGTACTTGAAAAAAACAGAACCTATGTTTGGAGAGGTGAAGTCAAACTATCTTGGTTTTCACTATGCATATTGCTGGAATTATTAGGAGGTCCAGACAGCTGCACAGAGCAAAGACACAGCAAAAGCTCCTGAATGTCTTCAGCGAACTATCTTCAATAGCACAAGCAAAGATAGATATGAAAAAAGCACTGTATTTCACATTACAAAACACGGGGCCAGTACCAGTAGTAGTTTAAGCCTTCCTAGTCCCTCTCACTGCTTAAATCTATAAATCAGATGAAAGTTAGGTGAGTTTAAAAATAGCCTGGAAGGGCAGCAGACAATCAGTAAATTGCTGAGTTCAAAACACTCTTCATAAGTAGCAGGAGAAAAGAAACAGCGGAAGGGGGTGTATGAGCAACATCTACTTTCAATAAACTTACTAAGGAGTATGTGGCATTACAAGAGCATGCAAGCAGCCACAATAGATGTAGCATTAAAACAAACAAACAAGTCTCTGCTTATTTTGCAATAAAAAATTTTAGAAGGATGCAGTCTGAAACAACCCCGAAGAAACAAAAAAGTAAACCCAAAGTTGATTATCTCTAGACCTATATACTATAGGCCTCCCTACTTTCTATAGTGCTGCAAAGTTCTAAAAAGTCTTTGTTTAAACAGTTATTTAAACTTACACTAAAGTGTAGAAGTTCATTAAATACATGAAAAATCTTCTTGACGCCTGGAAGCATTCCTGAGTTCCCTGGTAATGACTAAGACTTTCACCTTCATTTTTACTGTTTTGAAGCAGAAAATTAAATTGGGAGAAGCACAGAGGAAGTGATTCTTCCTTACCAAGACTCAAGATGCTTGTGGAAAGGAAAATGAAAGAGGTATTAACCCATGGAGAAAAGCAGAAGCATTTATAGCAGGGGAGTATCAGTCCTTTGAAGACTGTACACAATCCAGATCCCATGTGAATGTAAAAAATGCTTTTACAATTCAAGTTGGAAAAGATGCCCAACTTTCTCTTCATCAGCAGCCTGTCTCCTGTGTCATTGATTAGTATTTCCACAGAATACTGTAAAAACTTAATTGCAATAATTTGCAAAGATGAATTGTTTCAATAAAAGCAGTAAGTTTCAAATTAAAAGCTGTAGATCTGTAGGTTTGTGGACTATGCCTGTCACGAGCCATTTGAGGCTGATAACTAATGCCCAGATTTTCCATTTTAAGGTGGCATGTGTTAAACACAGGGCAAACTGTTCATTCTGCTCAGCCTTTACATAACTGACACTGCAGGTAAAAGTTATCCCTAAAAATCTCATCAGGAGGAAAGTATGATCAAGAAACGCCACCTGCTGTCTCGTGGATCACTGCTCAAAAAAGCTGTTGGGAGTGCGACATGCACAAAACTCATGTTTCATTTTATTGCAGGAGCAATATTTGCAATATGATAAAAAGAAATCCTTCCCCACATAACAGTAACCATAAGAGCCCTCAGATCCTCATCTTAGCTATTTACTACACAAAGCTTTAAGCAGCATTTCCTGCAGAAGTCTCTTGCAGCGAAACCTAGAAAAAAATGTAGCAATTCACAAGGCAAATGTCTTGTTTTTTACAGATTGTTCACAAAAGAAATCTATTAATTGAATTTCACAATGTTGGCTCCAGATTGTTCACAAAAGAAATCTATTAATTGAATTTCACAATGTTGGCTTCTCTTTAATTTCTAGGTTCATCCTTGATTAAAATGCCTCAGAAGCAAAGTATAATTATTCCACTGGCTGCAGTAATGTAGTGCATATCCTATTCTCTTAGGCTGTCTCCAAAGAAATGCTCTCTAGTAATCCAGACCTTGACACTCCAGACACTTTGACCCAGCAAAATCCCTAAGTATTTGCTTAACTTTAGACAAGTTTAGTTTCCTGATCTTGGGTGCTGGGAAACCAGAAGCCAACCACACCTAAATACACTAAACTAAGCACATGGCTGAAGACTGTTCTGCATAAAAGTGGGTGTCCTCAGGACCTTGATGCATGTTCAAATCCAGGCTTTCCTGATCAACAAGCCTCTGTGCAACTTTTATGAAACAAATTTGACTTTGTTTCAAATCAGCTGCATAAATATTACAAGTTGCTCTTTTTTCCTGCCTTTTTTTTTCCCCAAGGGAGGATGTTACCCGTCTTCTACAGCACTTCCAGAGCAACCTTCAATATTCTAATGTTCAATCATCTGAATTTTGTGCGTTTCTTTGAATGTACCCTTTAATCCTTCTTGAGTCCCTGATTTCTTTTTCTGCCTAAGTATTGTTAGTTATTTAAAGGCATCCCCCTTCTCTCTCAAGAAATGGTGTTTCTTTAAAACAAATTATCAACTTAGTAGCTTGAGTAAACCAAAACCAGCCTCAGGAAAACAAGTAGTCAAGACAAAGAATAGAATACATCAGCTATACTGACAATTGTAATAGAAATTATTATTACTTCAGTTGCAGGTAGCTTACAGCCTCAGTCAGGAAACTAACCAATGCAGATTAAAACAAACAAACATCTCAGTCCTAGGATGAACAAGCTTCTTGGAATTAATGCAAGTTTGAAAGTGCCAAGTAAGGAAATGAAACAGAACTCACCTTATATATTTGATGTATAACAGGCTAAATGGGTCAAACTGTCTTCTATTGACGATAAAAATGTAGTTTTACATCAAACAGTTGTCCTGATAGTACCAACCAAGTAAACTGAAAGGTAGTTCACTTCTTTAATTTCTTTGAAACTAATTCTTGCCACATGACAAGCAGCCTGGATCAAATTTATTTGTGGAGAAAAGATTGGAAGCTACTTAAAGGCCCATATTGTATTGGAAGTGTTGAAAGAATTTCCAGCCAAGGGAAAAGAAAATGGCTAAAACCCCGTACTTACCTGATTAATGTCTGTAATTATGTCCTACACAATATTACAGAACAATTAGCTATGTTCTTTAATGTATGTAGTACTTTAACCTATGCAACCACTCATAAAGTGTGCACACATTTCACAAAAAATGTGATACAAATTTCAAATTATTCTTCACTTACACTTGCATGAAACTCCATCCACTCTTAACAGTTTTGTGCACTTTAGTATTCACAAGACACGTTGGCAATAGAAATGTTACAGAGCCTCAGAAGGAAACATCTGACCTGCTGTAGCCATATTTGCTTTGATGGCTTAAGATGTGTTTCTGCACGGGTGGGTTCCTGTTTCTTCAGTGACTCACTGGCTTCAACAAAGTCTCATATAGCATGCACAGATTCATTCACAGAAAGAATTATTTGAACTCTAACATTTACTTGAGGGGGGAGAGTTAAAATAAAAAGAACAGAAGCCAAAGGAGAGATAAGGTGGCCCACCTTGGAGAGCACCATGCTGCGCTCCACCTAGTCTTGTGTTCACAGAACTATTAAGTTCTGTACTAACAGGCTCATCACTTCATATGCAGAAGTAAATCAAAAGCACCTGAGTGCTGCCCAAGGTATAGCTGTTTCCAATTCTTTCTATTCCAGATGGTGAATGAGAAAAGATTTTTGGGTATACAGGACTCATAGTTACAAACACTAGAGCCAAGCACATTTGGCCTGGAGTCATTAAATCTATCTCAACATGAAGTTTCTTTGTACTTGCTCAATGTGTGAGTGAATTACAAAAATTATATGTAATCCTAGTCTAAAAAAGTGATGGTACTTGTTCTTAGAAACTTGTTAGGATTTAGATGCAAATTTGTATCAAGATCTGTTTGTCCTGGGAGACTTAATATCAGAAAAATTGAAGGAAGCAATATGTGGGGCTACTCACTCTGTGACTCTGACTATTGTTCAGGAATCTCCTTCTAGTGAGAAAACAACTAGTTGGTTACCATGCTATCTCCCACAGCACTTCTATGATCCCACGTGATATGAAAAAACATACTAATATATTGATTCCAAAGAAAAAGATATTGAAGGGATCAAAAGATGCTTGCTTTCCTCTGATTCTCTTCAGATGTACAGAACTTGAATAAACAGTTAAGCACTTCCACACTTTGGATGTTTTCAATCAGAACATTACATTTGAAGAAGACTGAATTTTCTTCTCATGAACCATGGAATTCAGGTCAGAAACGCATACTATTTTGTTCACTTCCATCAGAACATTTAGCATAGGAAAACCCTGATTTAAGTGCCTGAGGAAAAAATTCAAACCATTCTATCACTCCATTTCTGAACAACACACAAATACCCACAGTCACGGCTTGTTTTAGCATCAAACTGAAAGGTAGAAGCTACATGATTTGTATTTAAAATACAGTTTCACACAAACAACTTAAACTTGTGGAGGAGGGAAGAGGACATTTTATTTGAACCCGGCATCTAAGTGATGCTAACAGCAGTTCAGTTTGCCATCAGATATTGAACTATTCCAACAACAGATTTGACCGAAGAGATTGAGCAGCCTGATAGCCCAATTGCTTCCGATTTAAAAGCTTTGCAGGGGTCTTCTTTGAACTAGAAATCTGGAAAAGCATGTCTTCCATGGTGCACATGGTTATCCGTCCTGAAGCTTGTAGTTTTGTATAAATATCTCCTAATTTGGCAGAAAGGTCGGGGTTTTCTTCCATCTTTTCCCTGACTGTAGCCAGCTAAGGAGAATAAAATGACAGACTATTAAAGTTCAGAAAATGAGGATCTTAATCAACCACCATACTGAAGATCAGCAATCACTCAAAGGAAAAAAAAATGTCCACAATATATGCGGCTAATGCAATGACTCATAAGAGGATTTTATGCAGCACACATTATACATCACCAGACAATTATGGAAATGCACTGGATGCCTATTAAGAGTTTTTTAGATTTAAAACTTCTTCAAAGTTGTACATTCAGCCTAGTACACACTAACATCATTATTTTGCTTTTAAGCCCCGGAAAAGTAATTGCTTTCTGGAATCTACTTTCCAGATCAGCACAATTCTAATTATTGTTACGTATCACACTAAATGTATAGTACAGTACAAATCAACAGAAGTCAGACCACAGAACACTGAGAAGTTCTGTATGCCACAGGCAGAGTATGTCCTCAAGTATAAGTAAATCTCTTAAAAATTGGTACTGATCAATAACCTTTTATGGAAGGAATGGGTTAGGACTAATGCTTAGTCTTCTTAGGGACTGTTACAAATTTGCCAACAAAATACACCATTGATACATGTAAAAATCTATTGCAATGAATTTACAAATTGAAATGCTGCTTAAAAAAACTTCTTTTCAACATAGCAGTTAATATATACGGGCTATGTTTTGAAAGGTATGTCCCCCTTCTATCTAGTATTTATATTTTACATATTAGTTATTCATTTAATAGGCACCAGTGAAAGGCTAAGTATTTAATCATTAACACAGTCTTAAAATACCTTGTTCCATAGACATGTTCAAAATTAATAAATACACTAAGTTTCAGGAAAAGCAGCAGCAACGCTACCAAGCTGATAGGGGGTATGTACATGCTCCGAAGGAAGCCTTCTTTGTGTTCAGTACTGTAAAAGCTGGTTTTTATCATAAAATACGTAAAATATCAGAAGCTATTATTTCCCATAACACACTTCCCCATATAGCATCACAGGTCTTTGAAAATATTACCAAACTAGTAATACCACTGCGATCCGAACTTTATTCTCATTTTTACATCAAATGAAAATAGCATAGAAGTCAAGAGATTAAATATTTAATGCCTCTAGGGAACACTTCATCTACATTCAGATGAAATTTGAGCTTCTAAGAGCAAGATCCATAATAAAAAAGGGAAGCGGACAGCTAAGTGCTTTGTCCAACAGTACAAAAGGCAGCCAGCTGCTTTGGCATTTGAATGCAACAGAACCCAAACAACTTTAGTAGGGTGAACTCAGGCACCTGAAGTTCTGTAGCTAAGCCACCGTCATCATGACTCAGCCAAGTACCATGGACCTCTTCCTGTTACTGTGTACTTACCACCTGCTCAGAAAACTCAATTTTTTTCAAAAAGGGAGGAGTATCTACTTCCACTGCTGCCTCTAATGTCTTGATTACTTCTTCTAGTGAACCAGATCTGAGCTGGACAAGAACCTTGAAAATAAAATAAAATCAGACCACACCAATAGTACTTACCATCAGAATACAGAATTTTTAAAAAGTGTTTAATGAAGACATAAAGTAAAGAAGGACAAAATACATTTCTAGTTGCTGAACTGATGAAAATATATTAATCATGAAGAAAGCAGAGAGAATAATCAATTTCCACAAACCTTTGGGGCTTTTTCACAGGTGAGACCTGGAAAAGAAAGGCTGAGCCTGGTGGTAGTGATGGACCTGAATTAGCTTTTCTTTAATAAAGTGTTTTTTCCATAGCTTAGAGAGGTCACTCACCGGGCACATGCAGTAGACTTTCTCTCGGGTTGCAGACCATGCAATTAAATTTAAAAAATTGTACATATGTGATTAAGGTTCAAGGGCTGAAGGAAGCTTGAAGTGGGCAGAGCACAGCTAAGGGAGGCATTTACTTGGAGCTGTGTGTTTTTACATCTCTTGTAGTAAGAAATCAAAAAGTCACAAAATCCTAATTAGAAACTTGTTCACAGGTCTGTACTCGCAGATGTAGGACTGGTCGACGTTCCAATCCCATCTATAGCAAGAAGCAATTTTAAAAAATGTGGGAAGGGTGTTTACAATTCAGAATGTGACTCATCCAGCTGACAGAAATTATCTGCTGGCTCAAAACCAAGCTCAGCAACAGTACTGATAAACACCTGTGCTACTAAAAAGCTAGCCTTCTATTACTCTGCACACAGGTTTTTTTCCAGTATGGTATACTTCTCTGAAATATTCTAATACAAAGCAAGCATACTTACTTTAAGATTATTGTATAATTTGTTCTCTGTTTTCATGATCTGGGAACAATAAAATTTGGCCTGCGCAACATCATTCTAGGAAGGAATTATAAATAATAAAATAAATACAGTTAAACATGTGACACTTCCACAATAAAAGTTTAAGAAAAACAGTCTTTCACAACTTTTTAATGAATCACAAAACAGCATCTAGAACCCCTGCACCAAGACCCAGAGACTCCCAACAGCATTCATCCTGTGAAAGGACCACCCCACACTGGATTTTGCATGTAATGTGGCTCTTTAGAACACCAGACAGCATCCCTGTCTCAGATCAGCAGGGAAAGGAAGCATGTAACCAACATTGAACATGAGAGCTCATAAAAGATAAAATATCTACACAGATGTTCAGTTTGGTACATGTCAGAGTACTTAAATGAACTACAACATATGTTAGTTAATGTGGGTGTTTATCCTGCCCAGCATTTTTAACCTTTTGGACATACACATTTACAGTACTGTATCTATGCCATCAGCTGATTTGTACAGACAGTAAATGTTACACTGACATTTACTAGACCAACCGCTGTTACTTGAGATCAAGAAACATCTTACTCACAGCAAGATGTACTGTCAAAGATCACGCAGCTTAAGAAATAGTTAAGTGTAAGTGGAGCATTATTCTACTTGCAAAACAAGAATTTAAACTGATTTTTACATAAAGCAACAGCATCAAGGATATTTCATGTTGTTTCAGAGACTGAGATTTTGGTTTTTAATCTCAGTGCCAATGAGAAGCCCTGTCATGCCATCATGCACATGGATAATTTCAATGATGCTATTGTTCAGCGTCTCTGTTCAGACACAGTGCAAAAAAGACCACAGAGTGCATTAGAAAAAATTAACAATTCTACCTCATTCATTCAAATCTGTGAACAGGAACAAAATGCTAGCTCTTATAGTGCCTCTGACCTCTGTTTGGACATGAAACAGAGAAGGTTCAGAATTTCCTAAAGCTGTATGCACCATTAACGGCAGAGGAAATACTAGACTTAAGAATTTTCTAATCGTTATTCTTCTGCTCAATCTTTCACCTGGTACTGCCTCAGAGCCTCTTCGTATCAGTGCCTAAGGCACATGAGGTGCACGAAAATCTTGTTGTAAAAGAACATATTGTAGAGGACAGGCCACAGGCAGTAGGGCAATACATATCACAGCCTTTGAGTTTGCCTCCCAAAGTAAACACTTTTAAAGAGATGATTGTGCAAATATTTAAAATTATCATTTTATTTCTATTTAAAGGAAACCATCACTAAATAGTATCTGCAAGGCTGGGTCCATAGCCACATCTAACCTGGTGGCCCAACTCTCTTTCATTTTTTAGAAATATTCTATATGGCACTGTCACTGGCACAAAATACCTGTGCATTAGACTCGTGACATGTGTTTGGATTTCAGAATTTCCACATTCACTCTGTGTGGGAATTGTCTACAATCCTACTCTTTTGTTTGTTTAAAAGTTCTAATACTTTAAGTCATTACATAGATGAGTTATACTTCCTTTCACTATCCTTCTACAATAAAACTATAGAAATTCAGGCACAAATCAAACCAAAAGGTTCTGACCTGCTTCAGAGCAGTTGCCACAGCAAAGCAGAACGCTCGCAGCGGTAACGTGTCACCTTTTAGCTGGGCTTCTTCAAGCAGTTTTGCAGAGATTCTGCAAGACTCCAGGTTGTCCTGCATAGAAATATCAAATCTGAGTTGCACTTGTTATTCCTGTGATCTGAAAGGACTGTAGGCAATTGCAATCACATTCAGAAGGCATTCAGAGGTCAACATATGTAAGATCACCAAGGTAATCCATATCTGAACCCAACCAAGCAGATTCTGTACAGTACTTCTTGAGAAACACAACATCAAAATACGATATTCGAAGCTACAGTGTTGAGAAGAGGGTAAAAATAACTTCCATTACTTTAACAACTATGCCTTGCCCTAACTGTTTTGGCTTCTACAAGAGATAAAACAACCCCAGCAGTATGCTAAAACCAAGAGACAACACTTTCCTTTCCACTTCCTAATCATTCCCAAATCAGGAAGTAGACTTTTTGTCCTTCCTTTATACTAAAAGCTACATTAGATAGTTGTGACAGGTGCACACACACCGCTTGCCCCCGACAGCACTAGAAACTTCCCAACCATTAAAGAAACCCAGTAGTTGGGATCTAGGGATCTGGCTGCCCAGTCAGCAGGGCAAAGTCATATAGTGAACTATGGCCAGAAGATGGGCCCCCAACCAATTAAATACTTTGGTCAAAAGAAACTTTGAAATTTAAATTGATACAGTCGGCAGGATGTCAACAGAGGAATTATTAGGGAGGCATGACTGCAGACTTTCTCCCCCAGGTATACGATAGGTGAAGTAGGAGTAGTCTGACTCATGAGCAGTTGTAGAGTATAGAACATTGCCGCAGAAATAGTAGATTGCAAAGGCAAAGGAATTATGTGTGCCTTCCTAGGCAGCTGCTTGATTCAAGCACAAGAACGAAATAATGATTTTTGACATATTGGCAAGGATAATTTAAAAAAGCAATTGGAAACATTGTTTAAAGGGAGATCTGAAACAAGCGAGAGAGCAGACATGTCTGTTAGAACAAAAAATCATGCTAGCACAAGTGAAAAAGTCCCCCAGTACTGTCCAAATCCAGAAGTTGATTGCAGGTGCAGACCCCAAGGATTGGAATGGGATCATTTTGGGGACACTCTGATGAAAATATTCTGAAGAAGGAGAGGAGTTGGAGGAAACAGAGAGGCACATGGGCCCACAAGGTGGAACCCCCAAACCACTGTCTGCATGACCTCCTGGGCAGTGTCTGAGCTCAGTGAATTGCAAGTTAACTTATCAGACAAGCCCCGCAAAACAGAAACCAAGTATCTGTGGAGAGTTTCTGTAACTGGAGACGATTGGCTATCATTGACGGATGATGGTTTAAACAGGGGGGTTCTAGAGTCCAGGAGTGTTTCTCAGTGATGGGCTAGCAGGTGGCCAGTCAGTAACATCCCAAGTGGCTTACTGGGCTGGGGGTGTGGATCCCAAAGAGCAAGGAGAACCTATTACTATTGAAGGGGTTGTCAGGGCTGATGGAAGGAGTACAAAAGGCTGCTTGTGCTCAGGCAATATATGAAAGAGGGCAGCAAGGGATACCAATGGCAGTACTGGTGGACCCCAGCCACCTTAGATCTATTATAAGGGGACTACTGAACACTTTAAAAATACATATTCAGTCCCTCAGAGAACGGATTCAGGGGGCCATTAAACATAATCAGCAAAACCCTCGGAATTTGTGCACGCATGTACTGACATGGACAGAGATGTTACATGATATAGCTAGTTACGGGTGTGAGACAGGATGAACTGATCTGGGTGGTGGCACAGATGGAAACAGAAAGAGCTGGCAAGCTAGTCAGAACTCCCACTGCAAACATCTTCCCCACCAGGAATCTGAACCCTTCTGAGGTAGATCAGATCAGACCCATGATCCAGGAAGGAACAACCTTTGGTGAAAGGCAGTAACACTGGGGGTACCCAGGCACAGTCAGTCCATTGACCATATTTGAAAGCTGGTGGAATTGCTAGAAGGGAAAACTGAAAAACAATGGGCAACCACACCTTCTCATGATAGCGTAACTAGTCCTTTTGTGTTCCTGCAAAAGAAATTGACAGTTAAAAAACTAAATGATGCAGTTTTGGGTTCAGGTCACCCACTCCGCATGGTGAATACTTGCCAGTGGTCCACTTATGGACCTTATACACATATTTCCATGGGCCCAAGATTAATAAATTTAGAATTTTTAATTGGTTAGTGTTTAACAAGCCCATAAGTTAAGGTAATAATAGGGTTAACTGGTGTAGCAGAAAAATGTCCCATAGCTTGAACTCAACTTTGGCTACCTGGAGAAAAAAGAATGACAAAAGTGTTTTGAGTCCTTATAAAGGAAATATAGTGGGATTCAATGTGCTGATAGGGAAACAATTGTATCTAATGGCAGGGTGTGGAGTTTCGGGAGCTGAGGGGCAAAAGCCACCCATGTAAGGACTATGCAACATACAGAGGCCCTTAATGTACTAAAGGATGAATTTAAGATGTATCAGAGACTAGTCCCATTGCAATGGACTGTGAGATCCATTAAGGGTGGAGTGAGGATTTGCCACAGACACTTCATACTATGGTGTGATTCAAATGGTACCATGAAGGGCTGGCTAGACCTTTGTCATTCTATTCCACCTCATTTAAGAATGACACTTAAGAAAGCAACAACAGCACTCAGAATGGGAGAAGGGACTCCTCTCACTTACCAGAGTAGTTAAGTGAAGGGGTTACGTACATCACAAGATATTACAGTGCAGGGGCCCTTTCCCTCTACTAAACTAGATCCTTAAAGAATCACCCCTTCCTGAGAGGGTAGTCCAGAAGGCCATGATACAGAAGTGGTATGTCTACTTAGAAGAGGTTAGCCAATTGCTCCTGTTGAAAGAGGGCCTGGTCAAGGCCCCCAGATTACAATAGCCTCGAAACCTTGATTGAACCTTGTTGGGTTGGCCCTACAAACCTTCTTCAATTAAGGAAACACCTGTGTGGCAGGAGTTTGTGGCAGGCACCAATATGCATGGAATATGGTTCACTGATGCATCTGCCCATCAAATAGGGTACCAGGAAAACAATTACAGAGGAGGGAGAAGGTAGCACACAACACAGGCCATTGGATGCCCTCCTGCTGGCTGTGGAGAATGGTGGCACTGTAATTTACAGATCGCTATGCGACTTATAAGGGCACCAGAGAGTGGATATGCCAGTGGGAATCCAATCAGTGGGAGGTAGGCTGTACAAAGGTCTAGTAATGTTTGCTAGAAACAGGCAGATCACAACCCCTAAAGGTGAGATGTGTAAAGGGCCATGAAAGGAACGGAACCCCCACTGAGAAATGGAATCAACAAGTAGATAACCTAGCTCAAATGAAGGTGGTTGACAGCAAAAAGGAAGACTGCGGGCAGTTGGCTGAGTGGCTGCACACTAAGCAAGGCCACTCAGGGAAAGTAGACTTCTATTATGGGTGTTGGTCTCAGGGATGGCCAGTATCTATGAAAATCTGTGAGGCAGTCCTCACAGCTTGCCCACAATGCCAAATAAGGCTCAAAGTCAACCATGCAAATCAAGCACTAGCCCAACACATTAAACAAGGCAAAGCTCTTCGGTGCAAATCAATTTTATTGCTCCTTTGAAGATATTCCACAGGAAGAGATATATTTTGGTAGGAGTAGAGGTGGTATTGGGACTGACTATGGCCACAGCTGTTAGTACAGCCACTGCAGATCAGACAGTCTATGCTCTGCAACAACAGTTTGGTATTTTCCCTGAATGTATCCAGTGTGATAACTAGTCGGCATGTAAGGATGGGTAACCAGTCTCCTTCAATCTTTAATAATGGTTATGATTACCATAATTTTTATTATATTAAGATGTATTAAGCACGTGGTATTGAAATCTGTGTTAACTGTGGAGCATACTCTCTTAAAACCTGTTCACATATTAGACATTCCCATGCAACTGTAGAATATTATTTCCCTATTTGATTGTTGCTGTTGCTGACTGTTATTATAATGTTGACTGTGGTTATACAACTGATTGTTTTTACTGTTGTTTGATGTCACACTGTTGGCTGACACTGTATTATTCATTGTTAACAGTAATTTGTAATAGTCTGAAAATAATTAAGGAATAAAGATTCACAGTCACCATTAAAGCTCACTGACACCGTGCTCCCTTTTAACTTTGGAAGGAAGAGATGACTGTACCACCATTCCAAAGAAACCAGTCAGGCATTACTGTGGATTCTGTGGAAGGTGCGTGCTCCCCCCTGACAACACTAGCAACTTCTCACCTGTCAGAAAAAACTAGTAGTTAGGACTTGGGGGTCTAGCTGCACAATCAGCAGGGCAAAGACATATAGTGACTATGGTTGGAAGATGAGCCCCCAACCAATGAAATACTTCTGTCAAAAGAAACTTCTGGACTGTAACCATATACGACCACATATCAGATTTGACTAGGAGGCCCACTGGACAGCCATTTTGAGTCAGTCCTCCTGGGAGTAGTGGGTCTGCAGTTGGGGACTCCCTCCTTGCCCCGGTTCAGATGCCACCTAAGAAAACACCTAAAGGTTGAGAGCCTTCATCTTGAGCCTTCATGACTGCACGCTCTGAGTCATCACTCCAAGTTTAGGATCCTGAGTTGGCTGCACAGTATTAATTCCATTTGTCATCTTGAACCTGTGGTTTACGAATATCTGTTGGAGTGTTAAGTGATTGTGATTAAAACAGCCTTCATTCCTACTTTATCACCCATTCAACAATTTTGGTCAAAATAAATTTTGTTGGAATTTGTCATCTGCCTAATTTGATTTTGTAAGCCTCTGTGACAATATTTAATGAAAATCAGTGTTTTCTAAACACTGAACTACTCAGCACCATTACACTAAAAAAATCTGTGTATGTGCAAATTTGAATATTCAGCAATTGTTAGCCTCTCTTACATATTAAATCTTTCAAGACTTTTCCAATGTATATACTCTAGTAAAATAGCTTAGTCATTTGCCTGTTTTCTAACACAGAAAGCTTCCATTATTGCTGGGACTGTTTTCAATAGGAGTCTCTAGTAAAAGGCAACGAGTTTACCTGTGTGTTATCTCACAAACCACCAACTGTCAAGAACGATGCTTCTCACACTGGAAATTATGAGTTGACTCGACCCCAAATAAAATACCTGCCAAACTTAAAAGCTGGCTGCAGGAAGGTCTTGTAACAACTGGTACCACCAATATGGATAAGAGCCTTCATATTTCTTGCTAGTATTTGGTGTTGATATCTGTTCCTACTGTTCAAAGTGTCATTCCAGCAAAATACTGGCCATAATTTAAGGGATAGGGTCATCCTTTGGGTGTTTAAGGGATGTTTTTCCATTCCACTCAATGGTCTGCACAGCTTGCAAAAATATCTTTTAAAACACATAAGAAGCCTGTGGTTTAAAACATGTTCTTTGAAAATTTAGAAACATTTTGCCACCAGAGATTAATTAAATGTTTTGTTGTCATCAAAAGGCCTATAGCCCTTTCCTGCGCTAACAGAAGGACTATCTATTACCTCAGAGGATAGCAGTGCCTTATGATTTAAACCATCCCAGAATTGTTTTAAAGTTGACCTCTGAAACACTTCTGTACAAAGATAAAACATTAATTCTTTTGTTTATCCACTAGCAATAATCTGAGTGTTAAGTCCTGTAAATGTTTCTGTACTGGTCTCTGGTTATTCAAAAGAAACCAAGAATTAACTGATCTTAAAGATACCAGCACCAGGCCTTGGGTGGAATCGAACAGGAGAATGAAACCAGAAATTTTCTGCTCAAACCAAAGGTGCTGGCTATTCTGGCCTGTCCATCTCTGGTCTATAGGGCTGGGCCCGTTTGCAGCGACTCTGGCAGCCTCAACTACGGGTGGAGGCACTGCATAGGATTTCCCCCTTGCCGGGACAGGCTCTCCAAACCCTCGCTGTAACCGGGGCTGCCCAGCCACTGCGGGGCTGGGTGATGATAATATATGCAAGTGGTGATGTATTTTTCTTAATCTCCATTCTCTCTCTCGTGTAGTAATGATTTAATGCATTACCCTGTTTTTTCCTGTTTGCTGCTCTAAGTGCACTATTCTGGTTTTTCTTACTTCAAGTTTTCTGTATTACACTGTTATGACTAGTAAAGTACGTCTGTTCTTTTCAGTCTCGTGTCTGAGTTCAAGTGGTATCCTTAATCAGCAGAACAAAGGGTTACTACAGTTTATTCCCTTATTGATAATATTTTATCTGAATGAAGAAAACCCCCACAAATTTATTGTGGCTTTTAAAACAAGGAAGTGACAGTTTAGATTTATTTCCCTCCTATTTTTATCAATTTGCTAAACAAGTAATGATAAGCCGTGTTCTCTACTGAAAAACACAGGTATGGCCAGAAGCAGTAGAAAACAAAAGTTTCAGGAACCTCTTACTGTTGCACATGCCATGGATTCAAGCCTTCTGACAGCAAGCCATGGAAAGAACCATGTAAAGATTTTAGGGAACAAGCTACAGCAGAAGGAATAAAGGATACCTCAGAGAAACACAGTGGGTTCCTCTGAAAGCCTTTACCTAAATGGGTAGAGTATAGACCAAGGAAAAATTCTGCAGTGGTAAATATTTCCTTAGTGGATGCTAGTAGCAAACACCAGCTTATAAACGTGGGTTGTAGCATAGTGTCAAAGTCTTTGTACATTCAGAACTTTCTAAAAAGGATGCCTTCTACATAAGGTAACATCCCTAAACTGACTGTAACCATCAGTCTCTAGCTGTTTTTAACATCAGACAACTACAGCAGGTCTTCCTCAGCTCTGCTTACTTCCCCACTCTAAACGCCAAAGCCACATGGCTTTCTATCTCCCCCGACCTAAAGGCAGCCCTGATTCATCAGACCTGAGAATTTCAGAAGCACCGCATAAATTACTGCTGAGCTACCATTTTAGGCCAACTCCTTTTCATCACATATGCACTCAGTTTCATTGTATGATTAACTGAGGAACCTGAGGAAATCTAGTCTAGTGGTATAATTTCTCCTCAGCAAGTGTTTTTTTTCCTAAAAACATGGGGAAATTGAAAAAGAGTTTCCTACTGAGTTTGCAAAGGGCCTATGTTAATATATCAAATTTCAGAACTGTTTCAAAACTGGAGAGGAAGGTCAAAATAAAATAATAAAAAAGGCTGGGGATCTCAGTTTGCTACAAAAGGGGAACAATTCTAATAAAACACTCGTAGAACCTGTATAGCCTAGTTTCTAATTGTATTCATGCTCTTTATGAGCTAAAAATACAGTTAAGCTTAAGGAGCAGCCTGTCTTGCACTGAAAGCGTTCATCTAGGTTTCTTTTCTCCACTCAGCTGCCCATTTTCATCAGGCACACAGAAACAGATCACCTTTGAGAACTCTAATCCTTGTCAAATTTGGTGCCATTACAGAAATGGTTCAACGTTACTTGAAGGGGGAGGGGAGAAATACATGGATGATATCTGACAAAGGGAACATATCATATATATGCCTTGCCTCTTAAGGAAGCCAGATTATAAAACCATTATTGAGAATCAAGCAGAGTACAGTCTGAAGAGATGCACAGACCCCACAGAAAGAATACCATCAGCTAATCAAAGGCTGTACGAAATTCATTCCTTAGAGTGTATATTCATGTACTTTATTGGAGATTTGCTTTGTGACATTAGTTTTTATGGGAAGCTATATATGTGCACCATATCATCCACAATGAAGCAATTTAGGACTTAAATATGTCTAAAATATTTGCACTAGATAAGGAATCATGACTGGGAACATAAGGAAATTTTAAAATCCAAAAAAAGGAAGACATAGAGAAGGCATTTAAAATACTTTTTCATCGTGTAAACTGGAAATGCTTACCAGTTTGTAACATATTGCAAATGCAAGTAGATAGGTTTCTTTGTTGAAAGGTATACCTTGTTTTTTCATTTCTACCAGAACTTCCAAAGCACCTATCAAAAATACATTGGTGTTACTCACTTCACAAATTTAAGGCTGTACATTTAGTAACTGGAAAAAAAAAAATTCAACATGGTATGAGTTCAGTAAGTCTATTTCAAAATAGAAATGTAAACTGAAATTTGTTACTTTTTAAACAAAACTACATTTCAAAAAAGTTTTAATTTAAGATCAAATGGATGTAATTATTTCTTCCCATCCAAGAGGTTTTCAATCTACATTAGAATCTGTCCTTACTGGTCTATTATTTTCATACAAATCTAAAACTAAATTCCAGATACTTGACAAACCACTCATTATTCCTAACTGCCCAGAAAGCAAGCCTTTTAAACACATGATCAACACTTCCACCATTTTAGGGAAGCTATCTAACAGCTCCTCGATAACACACATGCTTCACGACACCACAACACAGCATTCAGGCTCTGATCTAGTTATTTTTACATTGGTTCAGTCTCAACTTTTAGAACAACTGATTTAGATCTGTCAGACGACAAGAGACCAAGCACTGCGTGTTCAACAAACTTCAATAAAGGGATTTGCTTGAAAAGCTTACTCCATACTCAATTAAGATTTTCTCATGGAAAGTCTTTTCAGTCAGATCAGATGATTCCCCCTTATCCTCACAAAGGACCAAACTGATTTAAAGCATTTGACTTAAATATTGCAGTAGCCACACTGTATGGGCAGACTAGTAAGACAAACCAAGACTACTGTCTGATTTTGCTATCAAAGGGAAAAGAGTACTCTTCCCTGCTCTGACACAATTGCAGGACTGCCAAAAAAATGTTGAAGAACTTACTGTTCCAAAAACCACATAAACCAAACTCTAAATAGAGAACACAAAAAGCTTTGGGAAAATAAGAATCAAAAAGAAGTTAAGCCTTCAGAGAAGAGGGTTTAGGAAACAAGCCACCTGGATAATCACAACTCTGTGCAACTGAGAATGTCAGGAATATCACTGGAAGTATGAAACAAATACAGCCTTCAATTTTTATTACACACTACACTGCAGTTCATTCACATCTACACAGATTTACTTGATGTTTGGCCTTCTAAACCCATAAAGCAATCACCAATATTCATTAAATATATATATATTTATATACACACACACTTACAGTGAGAAGCATCCTCCTCAAAATGCATTTGCCTTAGCAACACAGTACTTACTTTCAAAATGGCCCTTTTTAAATAACATAGTCATCAAAATATGGAATGATGTACTGTCTGAGAAAAAACCATGCAAATTCTGGAGAAAAAACATACAAACAGAGTAAACATAAATCAAGTTAGGACAGTGAGCATTCTTACTGTGCACAGCATTTAGCAGGTCTTCTGACTGGACTAAGCCCCACCTTCACAAGTTCAACATTTAACTCCCTGGGTTTCCTGACTGTTCCTCTGTCAAGTAACGTCCAAAATACCAGTGACTCAGTATGGTCAAAAGCTCGCTAAAATTAAACAGAAATTTCCAAGAGATTCCCACTATCATTTTTAATTAATTATAGATTGTGACCTCTAAGTTAACACAAGCGGAAGTCACTGGCTAATGGCAGCTCCAAAATATCAGCAGAAATAAAGCTTGCAAGTGATTAATGTCTTCGAGGTAAAGTACCACCACAATGAAACTGAATGAATTTTTTGATAATCACAGTATCAAATGATGAGCAGATCAGCACAAGGGCTTGACTGATGACATAGTAGGAGAAGAAAGAGCAAATGTATTTTAAATTCCACTTTAATCACACTGTGTGTTGGGAATACACAAATAAAATGCCACAGGTATTAAGTCTAAATTTCTGCAGCAGAGTCTGATGAGGTACTGTAACTGTATCCGTTACAAAGCCCTGCAAGTACTGCAGGACCTGTCTTAAAAACATAGATCTCAATCAGAAAAACCAAACCAAAACAAGAAACCTCACATTCCATTTCTGGCTAGACACATCTCACGTATTAATGAATTAACATCATAGAGATGGACTTTCCATCAGAGATTTCCACCAGAAATCCACCAGAGATTTCTGAAGACACAATATTATTGTACAGAATATTTTTAATTTATAATACACTGGGCATGATTAATATCTTGTGGTAATATCACACACAGCATTTTACAGATGTTCAAAAGCAAGTCCTTAAGTTTCTTCAGCACTAAAATGGCCAAGTTCCTGAGTTGAGGAACATCATACCACCTCTACAGGGTTCAGAGTGAGTTTGAAGTACAAAGTAACATGATAAATATGCTAGTGCAAATAATCCAAGGGATTTCAGAGGACTACTACATAAAAACTCAGAAGTGTTCACTTCCAAGAATGACCTAATGCAACACAGGATTCAGGAAAACATGCATCCGCTGCGTTCATTTGAGGAATTATTTTTTTAATCAATACCTTTTATTCAAATGATGTAATTACACAGAAGTACAATAATAAACTTATCAAACTAGCATTTAATTTTCTTTTAGTTACTGTTTTGCTATTTATAAAATAAACCCCATGTAATCTGCATCCTTACATTAATGTATAGACGTTCTTGATACCACAATACTTCAAGTCTATATGCTCATGCAAGGTTCACATGTAGCATACACATTATTCATATTGGACTAATAACAACAACAACAATATTTTTAAAATATATAGGGGAATTACCTGATCTTTGATAAGTTCTACTGCAGGCCTTTCAAGGTCCAGCTCAAAACACAGCCTCATGAAGAGGGGTCCAAATTTAAAATTACTTAAGTCTGCAATTCCATTCTGTTCATGGTACCTATTAGAAAAATTTTTAAAAGTTTATCACACAGGACATGGAATTTGTCAAGGGAAAACAGCTTTAAATAGACAGCAAGGTCTGTACGTGCAATGACAGAGGTACACTTCTCTATCTGCACCAGCTAATGACATTTAGATAACAGATTAATTTTATTGAAAAAATACTGGTTTAATCAAACAAGTAAATTAACTAGTAATATGTAATGTCTTTTATTTCCAGTAAAGTAACTTGCATTGGATTAGTAACAGAATGAGTCTCTGCCATAAAAGTTCCCAGCTAGTTTACTTCTATTCACAGAGCAATAGCACAGGAAGCTGCAGCAGTCTATTTTAGCAGCAGCACAAACTAAGATACCTCAACTTTTTCTCTCCTACACTAAAAAATAAAAAACCAAACCAAAACAAAAGTGCTTCACTTTTTTCTTTATAGCTCCTACACTGTAATTGCTGGTGAGGCTTTCATTCACAAAACCTCCTGACCTGTCACTGCTGGGTCCAGACCAGTTTATAACCAGGCTTGTCTTGGCTGGAAACACCGCTGAGCACACCACTACCTCCCAGCTGAGAGAAGGTATTTCTGAGTGGGTCACCACCCATTCTGCATAAACTTTGCTCCTCTAGCTTGACTCTCCTTTGATCTGAGAGTCTCAGAAGGGTTGGAAGATCGACAGTAAATGAAAATACAGCCTTAATTTAAGGGATTAACTATGCATATAGACACTGCATTAGTGCAAGCCCTCAACTGCAGACCTAACCTGAGATGATCTAATAAGAGCAAAAAAATGAAGAGAGAAAAGTGTTACCTGGATTGTTAAAAATACCTGTAAATAACTTTTCTGGCTAGTTCCACATCAGATGAAGTCTGACATAAATGCAGTAAATTTTTTAATTCATTTCTGAGAATAATTCCATTTTTCTTTAATTTTTCTTTAATACTTTGAAAATATGGATCTGAAAATAAAACACATTATAGCAGCAGTCTATAGACAATTCCATTACCTGCATAGTTGGTACCTGAAACATGGAGATTCAGTGAAGCAGAAAGATTGTTTTTTTTCACCAAGGAAAATGCATAAAGCTTTTCACAGACAAGCATGCCTAGGTGTCTCCCTGAAGTCATGTCAGACTTGGAAAACCAAGAAGATGGTTATTGTGAACTTAATTTCATTGTGCAGGTTATGGAATATGACAGGTAATATAAAAATTATAAAGATGAAGGAAGTTTTGTAAGTGACATTTTCTGCCTTATGTTCTATTTTTAAGAAGCAAGCAAACAAACAAAACCAATCCCACTCAGCATTCCTTCTACTCAACACTGTTCATACAGAAGATTTAAATCCCTTCACAACTGATGCAAACAGTCATATACAATTAATATATTTCTATACATAGCCATAAATTTAGAGTTGGTTACCTTCCCCCCCTAAAAAGGTTTCTCTATCCAGCATGTTTTCCTGTGACAAAGCAAGCACAAAGACAAGTCCTTCAGTTGTTAATCTCAAGGCTCTGATTCAGACATACACAAAAATCATGTGTACCACCTTGCAGACCCATTCCTCTAATGGTTCTGCCCCCTGTCTTGGGCAGAGAAGTTAACTTTATGTAGCAGTTGCTGGGTCACTGCTATTTCCAAGCTAGTAACCTACACAAGAGGTACAAAGCAAGCACCCCAGAGAAGAACATATACAGCTACTGGATGCATATCTGTTACTACATGCAAACACAAGTCCTTACTCAAGACAGAGATGCAGAGCTGAATTCTGTGAAGTCAGAAGAATGTATACATATAAGTATGCATATATAATAGTTATGATATTTTCAGAGGTGCACAAAAATTTAAAAACCAGCTGGGATCCAAACTGTATTTGTAAAGAGCACATAATAGTTATTATAACTATTGCAGGCAATTGTTTAACTGCTGTAGTTAAGAGTATAACTATGATAGTTAATAGTTGCATTATAATAAATAATAGCTATTACATATTTGGTGTAACTGAACATCTATTACTGCTTTTCCACTTCTAAACCAAGTTTATTACCAGCCATAATTACTTCTTTTCATGTTTCAAGTATTAGACAGAAGCCATGCACATACATAGGTGCTTAGCACATTGTTTTCATCAATTCTCAGAGGCTACTATTTGTACCGAACAAAAAGGCCAACTGTGACTGTAAAGCCAAATATTTGGCTTCTACAAACCTGTTTTAGCAAGAGTCATTGACCCATAGCAATAAATTCCATGTATCTCAAGAACAGGATGAATAATCCCAAATACAAGTACCTCATCATCACAGCAAAATATAATATTACGACCTGCCACTGCCTGATTTAAATACTACTTTCACTTAATATAGAAAAACTATCATGTTGACTTCACTTCCCTCTCTGTCCCAGACAACTAGTTTATATAAAACTAAATTTGATTATTTGACTCTTCCTTTCCGTACAAAAACCCTAGAATTAACTAAATCCTTTAGAACAATTGTCAGTTTGTATCACTAGAACACACCTGCAAATGATTAAACAGGTGCAGGAAATGTGAGTTTTACTTAACCTTTCTTAAATATTAAGGGCAGATTTATGTTTTTATTTATGTTCCTTAAAGAAAGGAATTTGTATACAATGTAAACAGCATGACAAAATCCTCATCAGAAAAAATCCACCAATCTTGCTCCTTCATTAATGTGGAAAACCTGAAATTATTTTTCATATTCTGAGTACGCATACATCATCTGGAATTGTGTGTACAGCTGAGAACTTACATTAGATAAAAGGGAAAAAATCTATACCAATTAACTAAATTTACAGAGCAGATTAAAACAGAATTACAGGCATAGGCCTTCTCTGGATAGTTAAGTAGCTACTAGGTTTGTATTAACCCTCTCTGATGATGTAGTTGAAGCAAGATATGTAGACTGAAACAGTATTTTCTATTAGACTATCTGGCTAAGTTGGAAAAGCAAGGACACAAACATTTCAGGTCTTAAGTAAACATCTTGCAGACTTGAAACCTTTTCCGCATTTTCCAACACAGCATAACTAATAATGTTTCATTCTATTGAGCCACAGATCTTCCAAAAAATTTAGTTACAAAAAATCTGCAAGAGGAAGACATAAGTTGCTGCTTTAAATGGGGTCAGTTGGTGTCATATGATAATGACTTGTCTTGTTTCCTAGGACTCTGGCTAAAATTGAGAACGGTCATTATGAAATAAATAGTAATACCTTTATTGCCATGAACTTCATTTCTAATTGCCACTTTCATCTGCTGAAATGCTTGTAACTTTATATCATCTTCTGTTAGTAGATACCGCTTCCCTACCATAAGAAAAAAAGAGGTTGAGTTTTACATCACACTGTTTTAATACTACTGAACTTTTCATTTATGAATTACTGCTGTTAATTATTGTGTGATGCCAGACCACTGGCAGGAGGACATTAATAAAAAGACTGAAAAAATTGTCACTGACAAAAGAAACTGAGCACCACATCACAGCTTTCCAGAGTTAACATGTACAGGATGAAGAAGTATATATTTATTAGATGTGCAAAAGAAAAACTAGAGACACCATTCCTCTCCACCTAGACAAGGTAACAAAGGGATTCTGCCCAAGAATCCTCCCCTTTCATGCTTTTATAATGATTTGTCTTGTCATCTCTTTTTTCACCACAATTCATAGGGGCACAGCTTCCTTTCCTCACATGTGCTGTCTGCACTATTGTAGAATGCTCTGGAAGCTCCAAACACAGTAGCAAGACAAAAGGAAAAAACACAAAGCTTATTAATTGAATTGTAGTAACACTCAGGAGACCGAGTGAAGTGCTGGGCCTAGAATATCAAAATTAACTTTGGGTGCTGACCTCAACCGTACTGTGTTGTAAGCTCCTTCAGCAAAAGCAGCATGCAAATGTATTTGTGAAGGTTTTGCTGCCACAAAACTAGCTCTCCAGTAGATTTTTATTTTCAACCAATGATTTTGTAACAGAGAGTCACTGCAATAGTTCACGTTGTCACAATCTAATCTTTTAAGTTTTTGTCTTCTTAAAGAATGATTCTAATCTTGGAGGGGCAAGAGCAAGTACTGACCTCAGTTAGGTTATTTATTCTCCTCTGCATTTTTCTAGCAAAATGTAACAGGCCATGCAAATAAAGAAACTTGTTTTCTATGTAAGTGAAGCATGCTAAGGACCCACTTCATAAAATGTGAAGAAAAAACTCCATTAAATGGCAACTTTAGCCATTAAATTTAATGAAAACAGTTTCAATGTGTAAACAAATACATTTTATCCAGCATGAAATTGGCCTGGATTACCCTGTCATTTACTTCCCACAGACCCTTCTCATATCATTTACTTTCCACAGACTTTCTCAGCTGGTCTAACACTGAAAGACCATCCCTGGCCTGGACCTCTCCAGAGCTGATGTGGAAACTATGCCAGTGCCTGGGGTGGGACAGGCAAACCTCACCGCATGGATGCTCAGCAGTCACAGGCAGTGTCAGTAGAGAGGTTGGAGAAGCAGAACTTCATCCTTCTTGAATTCAATTTGCTGAATTCTACCACTATTTAAATTCACACTTTACAGTGTTATAGAAATAAACCAGTGCAAAATCAAATAAGAGGGCCTCTGAGAAAAAGAGGAGGGAGGTTTGATACGATGGCTGGCACATGCAGGCAGTGCAGACCATCCTGGAGAACTCAACCAACCAACCTGCTTTACCTCAGACATGCTGCAACCCTCTATAAATGTGGCCAGTGACGAGCAGTGGGCAGACCACCACTCGGGGGGATCTTCATGTCTCTGAGGTGTCTTAACAGACCTCTAAACTGACTGAAACCTCCACTGACATTGGTGCAGCAGGCTGGGAGCCCAGATGGGGCCTATGCAGGGGAGCCCTCTGCCACACACCTCCTTTCCACACTCCTCCCCTCCGTTTCATCCTCTGGGAGTGCCTTCAAAATGCCTCTGAAGCCCTGGTACAGTGCTGGTGGTGGTGACAACCAGCAGTCACAGCAGCCCAGGTTCTGGATGATGTTGCCACCCTCCCAGAATAAACATGCATTTACAGAGCTGCATGGTTTGGTTTTTGGTTTTTTTTTAGTGGCTCACATCCAGCATGCGATAGATTAACACTGCTGCCACCCCTCCCCGTGGGATTACTCTGCTGCACCTGCTCGGCCTCCCGGCCGCAGCACAAGCTGGCCCGCTCTGAAGCCCACTGGGAGGCCCTCGGCTCTCCCGCCCCGCACCGAGAGGGGACATCCCCGCAGGAACTACAACTCCCGTCAGGCAAAATGCTGGCGGCCGCCGCCGGGCCTGCCGGGAGTTGTAGTACTCCGGTCACGCACTCGGACGTCTGTCAGCCCAAGGCCCCGGCCGGCACCCCGCCGTCCCCCCTGCGCCCCGCCGCGCAGCCCACGGTACCTCCAGGCGCGTAGCCCCAGCAGCCCGAGGCCAAATTTAATA